GGGGGGGAAGTTCCCTCTTTTCTAATTTTCTTGCAAAATTCCCTCCAATCATCGGCACTATGGTATCCGGCCCCACTTCTCAAGAACCCGGTTTGGAATCCAACCCCACATCTCAAGTATCCGGTATGGAATCTGACCCCGCTTCTGGAGAACATCCTCTCTCCATGTTTTTTCCTCCTCCCCCTCCTCCTCCTCCTGCTGCTCCTGCTTCTCCTCCCCCTTCTACTCGATAACAAAATCGGCACTGTCATTGTCTCGGTGATGATGATGATGCTCCCCATCCTCCTGTTCTTAACATCATCAGCACTGTCGTTCTCTTGGTGATGATGATGATGATGATGATGGTGATGATGGTGATGGTGATGATGATGATGATGATGAGGAGGAGGAGGAGGAGGAGGAGGAGGAGGAGGAGGATCTTGAAGCCGTCACCATCTCTTACATGCTTGCGATTGCTATCGCCGATTTCGTTTTCATCAAATTCATCATTCCCTTGAGCATGGATCCCCCAAGCTCGGGCTGAATCGCCTAGGATAAGATCATATCCGGATAAGACAGCACCATATCGGATGTCCAAGTGACTCAGACCAAACCAACTCGGATCAAATCTCTTGAAACAATTTGAAAGTCCTTCTGGACATCCGATGCGATAAAACTGGAGCAATAGACAGAAGATTACTAGTATCATGGCCCCTGCGCAAGGATGAAAAGAAAAAGGGAACGATTGGATCGGATTTAGGCTTGATTGGGTCCAATTAAATTAGCAGGCGGCATGGACAACGTGCAACAGATCCTGGAAATCGTCACGATCGAGAGTCAACAGGATAAAGCAGAGACAGGTTGACTCAGAAATTGGAGGGACAGAATATCTGGCAAAGAGTTTTGCTAAAAAAAAAAAAAAAAAAAGGGGATAAAGCAGATAGGGAGGCCTACAGGTAGATGAATGGCATGGAGAGGGTAGGCAGCCTTGGCAGAAGAAGGGCAGGCCGACGACGAAAACAGAACATATATATCATCGAGAGAGAAACCATTGACCTTCTTCTTCCTCCTCCACCTTGTTCTCCTCCGCATTCAAACACGAAACCCGACCATCCTTTTTCTCCTTTGCATTGGAACCTGCCCTTGCGCACTTTCCCTGAGATCTGCACGAAAGTTTTGCCTTCATAAAGCCTTGAAACCAATGCGCCAGCTTCCCGTGTCCGTACAGCCCCCC